AGGCTCCTTGTATTTTATGGCATATAAAATCTCTCTATTCTCTGTTTTTAGCTGGAGCCATTTAATGTCTAAGAATTCCAGATGTGGCATTAAAGCAATGTTTTCTAGCTTTCAGTGAAGTTGTCTTCCCCTCTCAACTTCAAAATGGTATCAAGATGAGGTCTCTAGGGCAAACAGCTCTGGAAATGCTGAAGGCATGATTCTGGCTCATGACCATATAATACCCTCCCATAAAGAAGAAAAAAGTTATTTTAATAAAGACTAATGAAAAGGGATACAGGTAAAAAAAAACAAAACAAAAAACAACTAATACCACAAGAGCAGACAGAGCTTGCAGGAGACACAAAGAAAACTCTTCAACAGACACTTCAAAAGCATAGTAAAAATCCAGTTATATTCATAATAAAAAACTTTTTTGTGAAATGAGAAAGTAAACTTAAAAGAGGCTCTCCTATTCCAGCCCTCAGGCCTTCTTCAAGGTAAAATAACACAATTGAGCAGAAACCTCAACATAGTCTTCCTTCAAATCACATGTTTACCTGGCACCTGTCTGGCTGCTGGCAAGGAACTCTCATATCCAACAAATTGGCCATTGAAGGCTTTAAATTACCGTTAGCAACCCAGCTTCCCAAATTCATCTTGTAATAAAACCTAAAGACACAAAAAAATTGAATCAGTGTCACTCTCCTCTTCAACAGCATCTAAATCAGGAGTTTTAGTAAGCAAGTTTCTGAGACCAATTCACAAAGAACAACAAAATACTAAGTGTGCGCTATCACTTTCTTTCATTCCACCATTTAATTCTGCCAACTCACTGCAGGCTGAAGTCCCTGTTATTTTACAGGAGGTGAAGGATTTTGTGTTAGGTTGAAGTGGTAGAATAACATTCCTACATATTTCTTATTAATGTTCAAGCATCACAGTAAATCCCATTCCTATAGATTGATAACATGCATGCGAAGTTAAACCAAGATTCACTTCTCATCTTATTTTTTCCCTTGTGGATTCTCCTATATTGAGTGAAGGAATAGTCTTCTCTTTCCCCATCTTTGGAGATGGTGCCATAGATGCAGTAAACTTATCTTCCAACTCACAGGAAAGCAGAGATGATAGCTATATTTTCAAAGAACCCTATCACAGAATCATAGAATTATTTGAGTTGGAAGGGACCTTAAAGACCATCTAGTTCCAGCCTCCCTGCATGGGCAGGGACATCTCCCACTAGACCAGGTTGCTCAGAGCCATCCAACCTGGCCTTGAACACCTCCAGGGAGGGGGCATCCACAACTTCACTGGTCAACCTGTTGCAGTGTATCACCACCCTCACACTAGAGAATTCCCTCCTAATGTCTATCCTAAATCTCCACTCTTCCAATTTTGATCCATTACTTCTTGTCCCCTCACTACAAGCCCTTGTAAGAAGTCCCTCCTCAGCTTTCCTGTAGGCCCTACAGGTACTGGAAGACTGCTGTAAGGAGTCCAGAGCCTTCTCTTCTCCAGGCTGAATAGACCAAACACTCTCAGCCTGTCTCCATAGGAGAGGTGCTCCAGCCCACCAATCATCTTTGTGGCCTGTTTCTGGACTTTCTCCATGAGCTCCATCTCCTTCTTATGCTGGGGCCTCCAGAATTGGACACAGTAGTTCACGTGGGGTCTCACCAGAGCCAAGTAAAGCGGGAGAATCACCTCCCTGGCCCTGCTCCATCATGCTTTTTTTGATACAGCTCAGGAGATGGTTGGCTTTCTGGGCTGCAAGCATACATCACCAGCTCATGTTGAGTTTCTTGTACACCATTACTTTCAAGTCCTTCTCTTCTGGACTGTTTTTGATCCCTTCTCCCCCCAGCCTGTATTTGTGCTTGGGATTGCCCTGACCCAGGTGCAGGACCTTGCATTTGACCTAACTGAACTTCATGCAGTTTGCACAGGCCCACGCCTCAAGTCAAGGTCCCTCTGGATGGCATCCCTCCCCTCCAGCGTGTTGACTTCACCACACACTTTGGTGTCATCAGCAAATTTGTTGAGAGTGCAGTTGATCCCACTGTCCTTGTCGCTGACAAAGATATTAAACAGCACCAGCCCCAGTACTGACCCCTGGGGAACACCACTCATCACTGGTCTCCACCTGGACATCGAGCTGTTGATCACTCTTTTAGTGAGACCAGCCAGCCAGCTCCTTACCCAACAAGTGGCCCATCCATCAAATCCATACCATTCCATACTTTATGCCTAGCACAAAAGTTTAAAGGTTCATGATCAGAGATACAAGGGATGCCATGTCTGTAAATACTAAAAGTCTCACACACACACACACACACACACCTGTTTTTGAAGCTCTCAGCATCTAGAGGTAAATGGAGTAATACATTGATTAGCAACTTTAATCTGGCCAGAAGAGAAAAAAAAAATAAATTAAAAAGGATCTGGACTACTCTCCTAATATTTGGTCAGGATGCTCAAAAGCAGCTTTTACTATTTTTGCACTCTGGAAAGGCAGCAAGTTTAATCCTCTGTGTGACTCACCTGTGGAACTTTTTGAAATTAAGGAAATATGAAATGGATGGGAGGTCCAAACTCAAGCGAACTATAGTGTTGACTACACAGTTCACGATAGACCTGTTCTTTTTCCACCACCACCATCACACCAAGACATCAAGTCATTTCCTCCCCTCTCCTGACTTCTCCTGAATTATTCCAGATGTAGAAGCTTGGTTAGCTACAAAATTAATATAAAAAAACCCTGTGACCTAGTTTACATTTTCCATTTTGCATCTCTGATGTATTACTGAGTGGTTAGTGCTAGGATTCCCAACTGAAAGAAAAACAAAATCAGACAGACATCAGCATTTTCAGTATTTATCTGGTGTTTTTCCATCACAACCTGTAGATCTTTATTTGAAAAGTTATCCTGAATATTCATGTTCTTGAAAAACAGGCATATGAGAGCTCACATAGGAAAAGAGAATTCTCAGCCATGAGGTTCTGTAAAATATTTTTTCCTTAAGTTGCTCATAGGTATTGCCAGAATCAAAATAATCTGGAATTAATAATTTCACCTAGGAGAGGCAGTAATTTTGTACCATTTATTTAACCTTAAGGATTAGAGTTTGGTAATCTCCACCTTCATTTATCCCTGTATTTTAGAAAGCTGGGTTCAAATTGCTTGTATCAGCCATACAGATCAAGTGTGTTATTACTTTAATACATCACATGTCCAATACATTAAAATGAACAGCTAGAAGTGAATAATCATCCTCAGACTGTACAAAAAGCACAGGATAATAGCCATAAATTATTCTGTGCCAGAGCAGCAGGTAAAGAACTACTTAAGGTAGATCAGTGTAGAGGCAGAAGGTGGGAGGCAGGGGGAACACTTTTTGACATTTTTCATCTTAATGAACAGTGTAAAACTGCTCTTGAATGTTAGAGCAAAATTACCTTTAGAAAAAACTAAATTCTTGGAAGTTTGACTTTACTGTTCTACATAAGAATAAGAAAAGAACATACCTACATAACTGCTTAGCTTCACAACTTACACACCCATCAGCATTCTTCCAGTAAAAAAAGAGTCAATTTAGGAACTGAAGAAATGAGACAACTGAGCTTTTTATTTTTTCCAGCTGGAAAGTCAGGTCCTGCTTGTCTTCATTCTCATATCATGGTTCAAGAGTATTATTACTTTTGTATGGCATGCTCCTGAGGTCATTGCTCTTTGGCAACAGAGCAGGTGTAGGAAGGCAGGTGTGTTTAGTCCTGGTTGCTGCCTCCTGGAAGCCACTCAACTATTGCCTCAGAATAGCCTCAAGTGCCACAACACCTGTAATGAAGTTGAACCAACTCTTAAAAAGAGAAAGTTAGGACTGGCTGACAACACTACCCACTGAGATAAGGCAGAGAAAAGCAAAAGAAAGACATTGGCAGAAGAGTAACTTCTGGGGTATCCCTTTCCTATAAACAAGGCTTCCTCAAATAAGGCACCTGCAAGACGAGAGGAAAAATCTGAACTCTACAGTGAAATTCATATAATACAGTAAAATACTCTTGTATAGAGCAAGTCTTTCCCGCAAATTGGCCAGATGTTTCTGTTCTTAATCAGCATTATTCTGGGAATGCTGTGGCTGTTGGCTTAAAGGTAGAATAAACCTGAAAGCTTCTTTACTACAGAACATTACAAGGAATATTTCCAGAAGTCCTATAACAACATGGCCTCAGCATCCCCTTCTCTTGGTTCAGCTTTGCTTGCTTGAGAGACAAAGCATATGTTCTTCCAGGATTCTTAAAAAATCCTGAAGTTGGTTAATTTGGTATGTGAAACTGTTAGCTGTTAAAAAAAAATATAAAAAATGAAAAGTAGGAAAAAATGAAAAACTTCTTTAAGTGTAAAGTAACACAGATGTATTGGGATCTTTTCAAGCATTTGCAGGTATTAGGCAAGCCTATTAGCTAGAAACTATCTTATATCCTTCTCACAGAAACTTACTTTTCTGTTGTTAAACAGTGTATATAGGAGGAACCAGCTCAAAGTTGTTTTTAGAATGTTGATATTGGCCTGCTACTGAGCCTGGATAAAGCATATGTTCATCTAGGTTATTTTTGCTAGAGGGAAGGTTGTGATGAGGGCACCTGTGTAATGAATGGGAAAAATGCTACTTGCAATCTTTGTTTACTTGTTCACAGCAGTATTTAAGACATATGCTCTTTGGAAACCTTGAAAAATAGCTAGAACATTAACCTCAGGACTAAGCATTTGTACCACAGAAAATGCCAAGATCTAGGGATTTATTTTTTTTTCTTGCAATAATTAAAGGTGAATTCAAGGCTGATCTGCCATACTTCTTCTAAAGTTGCAGAAGGCTAAACAAGTATATCTGGAATCAAAAACTGGTAAGTTATAGCAAATGAAATGAAACATTCCCTACTGATACCTACAGCAACAAGCACATACAAAAAAATAAAAAATAAAAAAATTCAAGTCTGGATTAGTTATCAATTCAAAGTGAAAACCAGATACTTTCTCTTATTCATTACTTGGCCAACTTACAGGTCCACAGCAGAAGAAAGTCACCAGACAACTCAATGAGTTCCAAAACTAAACAAAGAAAGACAAAAAAATGTTATGCTACATTAAAAAAAAATCTTTTTTATTACATATTGTGAGAAATTAGCATTAAGTGCTTCTGGAGATGATGAGACAGAGATGAGGACACTTTTACAGATGTTTTAAAACTTATTTACTTTTTTGATTTATAGATAATCCATCCATAGTTAAGGGTCTAACCATTACATTATCTCCTACAAACTACTAAAACCAGACTCTACCCAGCAGTTTAAATAACATGAAAAAAGCCACATCTATTTAACAGCTGCAGAACTCATAGGACACAGGCAGTAAAATATAAAAAGACAAGAGTTAAAAATCCTACTGCAAGAATATTAACTGTAATAAAAGAGAAGACATTAAAACCAGCAGCTAGTTAGGTGCCAGGACATAATAGAACCCATAAGGACAGGCAAAGAATGATGCTAAGTTAGGGAGAAAGAGTCTGTTTTCAGAGAAGAACTTCCTGACAGACACCACAACAAAGCAACATAAACGGTGACTGTGTGGTCCCCTTCTCGTAAATAAATCAGGCGTCAAAGGTTGATCTGCAGTTAAAAAGAGGTCTAAGCCTTCTCCAAGGATTTGTAGTATTCTGTCAGCACAGTCCAAGCCTTAGGAGCCATGAAGCCTTCCGGTGGGTTTTGTCCTTCACGAGCCAGCTTGCGCATGCGGGTCCCCGATATAAAATCAAAGTCTTCATGGCTGAGAGAGTAGGAGGAGGGGCAAGGGGGGAGAAGAGCGAGAGGAGGGGGGGAAAAAAGTAACATTTTAGAAGTAGGCAAAGTTGCTCATATTCCTTCTGCTTTCTTGATACTTCATAAATTTCTTCTTGGGAGTATAACGGTGTATTGCAACTTTCATTTCCAGACATTTGGCCAGCAATGCCAGTAAATCTCTAGAATATACACCCTCTACAATATTCAGCTTAGGTATTTCCTGAGTTTTAGCAGCAATGTCTGACTTACCTCCTGTGGACTGAACTGTGTTTGTGCTTTCATCTAGCCTAGCTCACTCTCTGTGAGGAAACTGGGAACTGCTGTTGAGAGAGAGCCATCTCCACCTCTCAGCCCTCTGTTAAGCAACAGCAGCCATCCTACTTTGCCCTGCCATGGCATCACATCAGTCCTATGTGCTGGTTCAAGAAGGTCATTTCATTGCCACTAGAGAATGTGAAAAAACAATACTGCATGAAATCTTAGTGAAGGATACTTTGAAAAACAGAGGAAGTAAAAGCCTCAGAGTCTAGAGGCAAGTTCTACAGCTTCTGCAGCTGGACCACTTCAAGCCACTGAGCATGCATATATGTATATATGCATATGAATAATGTGCCACATACAGTTAAAAATAAGGAAAAAAAGCAGGGGAATAATAAAAATACCTTTCCCTAAAGATGTTCTCCTCTAAGAAAAAAACAACACAGAATTCAGTTGGACAAATGCACAAATTAACCCAGTTCAGGGTTACTCGTAATTGTTAACATGACAATCTAAAAATTAATTTCTCAGGTATGTGGTCATAAACAGCAAAAGCTCCCTGAATTAAACTTCCTCCTCACAGGACTGAAACAGAAAAAGCAAGACAAGAATCACGGAATGACTGGAAGGGACCTTAAATATCATCTGGTTCCAATCTCCCTGCTATGAGCAGGGACACCTCACACAAGACCAGGCTGCACAAGGCCTTGTCCAACCTGGCCTTAAACACCTCCAGGGAGGCAGCATCAACAACCTCCATAGGCAACCTATTCCAGCACCTTACTACCCTCATGATGAAGAATTTCTTCCTTACATCTAACCTAAATCTCTCCTTTTTCAGTTTAAAACCATTACCCCTTGTCCTCTCACTACCCTGTCTGGTGAAAAGCCCCTCCCCAGCTTTCCTGTAGGCCCCTTCAGGTATTGGAAGGCTGCTATAAAATCTCTCTGTAGCCTTCTCTTCTCTAGGCTGAATAACCCCAACTCTTTCAGCCTGTCTCCATAGCAGAGGTGCTCCATCCCTCTGATTATCTCTGTGGCCCTTCTCTGGACCCTCTCCCAACAGCTCCATGCATTTCCTCTGCTGAGGGTTCCAGAGCTGTATGCAGTATTCCACATAGGGTCCCTCAAGAGCAGAGTAGAAGGGGAGAATCAGCGCTCTGGCCCTGCTGGCCATACTTGTTTTGATGCAGCCCAGGATGTAGTTGGCACACTGGCGGCTCATGTTGAGCTTCTCATCTACTGCCACCCCCAAGTCCTTCTCCTCAAGACTGCTCTCTATTCATTCTCCCCCCAGCCTGTATTTGTGCCTGGGGTTGCCCCAACCCAGGTGCAGGACCTTGGACTTGGCCTTGTTGAACTTAATGGAATTTGCACTGGCCCACCTTTCCAGCCTGTCAAGGCCCCTCTGGATGGGATCCTTCTGAATGCCAGAGTTCTATCAAATGCTCCAAAGGAAAAAATATATATTCTTAAATTAAATATGCAATTTAAGTTAAACCCTTTGCTCAATTTGCAACATGTATGCATTACTCATTCTTTACTTGTCTGTTTGAAATAAAAGCTAAGTATTGATTTCAGATGCACATGCCTTAGATAGAAACAAGAGGCAAGTGTGTGCAACAGAGGGCAAAACTTGGCTTTATATGCTGAACTGTACTTACTAGGGTATGGAAGTTAGCAAGATGCAGAAAGCAGTTCATAGCTCCCTTTCACAAAACCACTAGCGCCATAACTTTTTTATTTGGATTGTATACATTTACGCAACAGCACGGCCATACGTGCTCTCTGCTTATTGCTCTCAATCTAGGACTGTGGGGTCGTGAAGTACTACAACAAGGCAAAACACTCTATTGTGGTTCAATTCTGCAAAATACAAATTACACAAAAACTAAAACTTAAAATTTATGTAAGTCCATAGGAGAAAAAGTTATGTCACTGCTATTTATAATACCTGAAAAATTTATTCTTTGACAGAGAGATGTCTATTGTTCACTAACACTGCTTCAAGGTAACTTACATTCTTTGCAAAGAACTTTTTCTATAAAACGTATGTGGGGAAGTGATAAGCCTGTCTCATCCTAGAGAAATAAGTACTAATTCCTCAGATGATCAGGAAGAGAAAAACAAGTGCTAGAAAATTTCTCAATGCGTGGTTTTCTTCACAGTGTGCTAGCAACACCAAGTTTGAGCATTAAAAAAGTTAGCTGCTTTATCCCCTGCTTGCCAGTTAAGTTTTCAGAAAAACTTTCAATGTCCTACTGTGCCGTACAAGTGAAAAAATGTACCAAGACAATACATTTAGATATGCCTTGTAAGTTTGCTTCAATAAGACCTCCCAGTCCCTTCAGCTTCTTCTTATCCCTAGTTGCATAAAAAGTAGCTCTAGGAATCAGAGATATCAAGAAAGAGAGAAACATTAAGAGAAGCTAAGGAGATCTATAGAAATCATAAGAAAAGAAAAACATGAGAAGGATCATTTAAGAAACATAATGCACCTTATAATAGATCTAGAAATTTTTCAAAAATACTATTAAAAAGTAGACAAGTATTAGAGATGCTCACACATTATCCCAAACTTCTCTTTTGAATTAGTTTTTCTTTTTGTAACAAAAAAATCATTTCAAATACTAATCACTAATGTGACTCACGTGGACCTTTGTCAATTTATGCTGTATGTTGAAACAACATGATAATTTTTGCCTTTTTAAAAATTACTACATTGGCAACTTTACTGTTTCTAGTTTAATCTCAAGTTTCACACCTAATACAGCATATTTGAGTAACTACTCAATACTCATTGTCTACACTAAAGGTAAAATCAAATCTCTTCAATATCAGAAACTAAGATTCCATTAAGCAGAAATACCTTATCAGTACTGGCACTGTGGTGTGATGTGAACCATAAGCATTTTGAAATAAAATATATCAGTATGAGTCATTTGCTTTTGTGGAAGAAAGGAGAAAGAAGAGACAAGTAATTTTTTTCATAGTGAATTTTGAGGATAGTAGGAGTTACTCTACATAAAATGGATTTGAGAGGAACATGAGAGTGAAACATTTGACTGGTGAAGCTACTCTGAAATATAAATGCCAAAGCCATCCAAATTCCATTATCAAGTGAGATTTGGGATGAACTTCAATGAAACTCAACCCAAGGCTTTTCTAAGCATGGGATTTAAGAGCTTTTAAAATTTTTATTTAGTGGTTGCTGGAATTAGTTTTCTTTGAGCCACATTGTTTGTTAGTAGATGTGTATAACATTGATTTGACCTTTTACTACCAATTAAGTTCGACTTGTATTGGTACCAATGAAATTAAAAGCATTCTCCTAAAGAAAGAGTAAAAAAAGGCAGAAATAACTCCACAACAAAAACTTGTCAACAGAAAACCAGTCTTGAAAACTATTACATTGAGACTGGTATTTGCTCCATGGCACAGCATCCTAGAATCCTATTACACTCACAGTGTGGAAAAAGCCCCCCACACAGAGCTATATGTATCTACAGACACGCACAGGTACACCAGATAATATTTTAAATTTGGAAAGCAGTGATTTAACCATAGTAACATAAGAACAACTTTGTGCTGTTACTTCAAACTATTCACAGTAAGTAAGCATCAAAGGACAGTCCAAACCATGCAGAGAAGATTAAGAATTCATACACCAGTTCTTCCTTTCTTTCATTTACAAAGACTGATGTTTTATTTATTAAAGTTCTTTCCCTTTTTTTTTTTTTTTGTGCATTCAGCAGTTACTTTTTACTATAATAGCACAAGACCTCAGCAACAACGACAGTTCTTTATGCTGTGTTATGAGCTTCAACACCCTAAGAGCAGTATATGAGGCTAAGATTTCAAACACCTTACAGTTCCTGTGACAAAACAAAGCAGCTGACACTAATGTGCAAGTAGGAAATGAATGCATGAAGATGTCCACAGTCCTGCATGAAATTTCTGCCAGATCTCCAAGGTACCAATACAGTATCTTAACAGAGTTACCAAGGAGAATATTTTTTCCACTTCAACAACTATTCCCTACAGGTTTAATCTAAGTATAAAATATATTACTTGATTATTACTCTAAAGCACTAAAGATCAGTCATAATCTTGGGAACCCTCACCCAGATTAGGGTATCTGGCACTGTGCAAATTACCTTCTTGGAATTTTCATTCTCTGTTGAGGGCACTATCTGTTGCCCTTAAGGTCTTAAGAAATTACTTTTATATACAAGATTTATTATAAAAGTACAGACCATTCATTCAGTGTTTTGCCTACTCATAAAAATGTTTTTTTGGAAATAAAACAACAGCATGATTTTTTCACCTGGTCTGGATTAAAAAGGAGTGCTATACTCTACTCAACTGGTAAACCTTAGATCTAATTAATTCCTAGGACAATTCACAGCTTCCGTATCTGAGGTTCAGTCCTTTAACAATTCTTCAGCTTCAAGCTTCTTGAACAGGATCTAGCATGAGATGAAATTTAACCTTACAACTCTTTTCAGAAGGACTTCTACAGAATTTAATTTTGCCTTTGCAGTATCAAGTCACAACTTACACCAGAACTCTTACATGAACAGAAAGTTGTCCCTTCCAGTGTCAAGACTTCATTATGTCATTCTGTGTTACACTTTCAGAATGTCCGATGCTGAATGAATCTACTATGATCAACTAGGTTCAAAACCTAGCTGGCCATGAGCAAACTCTTTGTGAAAGTAGAACATA